ACTGCCTCTGTAGTGGGTATGCAAGTGAAGAGGGAGACTACGTCAAAGGACACCATGGTTTCATCTGGATCCAGGGTCAGTTTCTGGACCTTGTCAGTGAAGTCGGTGGAGTTCTTGATGTGGTGTGGGGTGTTCCCCACCAGAGGTGCAAGGATGGTAGCAAGGTGTTTCGCCATGTTGTAGGTGACTGAATTTATGCTACTGACAATGGGTCTGAGACGGATACCCTCCTTGTGGATCTTGGGAAGTCCGTAGATGCAGGGTATGGCATCTCCTGGATAAAGGTGGTGATATGTCAGGCGGTTGATGGTTTTGTCCCTTTAAAGGCCTTGAAGGCAAGCTATAACTTTCTTTTTGTAGCTGCTTGTGGGGTCTCGCTTTAAGGCTTCATAGGTGTCGTTGTCACTGAGGAGAGTAGTGATCTTTGCGTGGTAATCCGTTGTGTTTAGGACCACGGTGCACCTTCCCTTATCAGCTGGCAATATAGTGATGGTGTGGTCTTTGCTCAGTGATGCGACTGCCTTCTTTTCTTGTAACGTGAGGTTAGAATTCACATGATAGGGTGGGGGCAGGCTTCACAATGAGCTCACCTGAAACTCTGGCTGAATAGGACCCACACCCACCCTCACACCTTGGCGCGTAGAAGATCATCAGGGGGTCTTTTGTTCCCTCCTCGGGGGGAAACTCCCACTGGGTTTAAATCTGGGACTCTCCACCATTTGACCTCAGAACTGAAGAAGCCTCTCGGATGAGAGGTGAAACGTCTTCAAGCAAATCAAAGAAGTCCAGACGCTTTTCTTTCAAGCTCATTAGACTACAATGACATCATCAACGTAACATGATTTACAGAATACATGTGACCTACTAATATTTTGCATTCAACCACCGGATGTTTGGATCAAAATGTGAACCAATCAGATCCTAGATCAGGTGAGAGACAGGAGTTTCCCATCATCCTCTAGGTTTTGCAGCCGGTGGAGAGCAACTGCAGCACCTTGCTCCAAAATCTGCGGCTGCCTTGATCTCAAGAGGATATCGTTGCCTACGTATGCATGACGTCAGAGCAAGTCCGCGTCAAGTCGGACACAAATCTAACCGGCATGCACTGCTCGCCGATCACCGCCGATCGAATCTGCACAGAACTGGCTCATCTCGAACACGGCCAGAGTCTTTGCCACTTGCTACTGACCAGTTTTCACCAGCGTTCCCCACTCCGCCTGAAGCAGCTTCATTTCTCATGCTTGTTTCACTGAGAATGTTCTTCTAAAAGCTGTTTCAGCCACTATTTCACACGCAGTATGAAAGGAGAGCAGCTATATTTGTTTTTTGATACATTATTTTATGGAAAGTATAAAGCAAGAATAAAGGACACATAACAATAGGAAAAGCCAGGAAGTCAGGACAACATGAGATGCATCTAACTAATGTTATTACATAACGAAATATGAAACCAGTCTAAATGACTGCCTTGGGAGTTCTAGTGTTAAACGAGTGAGCCACATCTTTCATTTGCCAATGTTGTCACTGATTCCCTCACAGGTGTATGACATGTAGACTATAGTCATATGCAGGGGCGGAGTTAGGCCCGGCTACTTGGGCTCAAGCCCCGAATGTTTTATGAAAAGCCCCGGATCTAAAACGTGGAAGTAACATGCGGTCTGTAATGTTAATAGAGGGAAATTGCTTAAGAGCTATTTATTATTATTACCACCACTTGTGACCAAAGCTATGGTACTCTACATAAATAGAATATCCCCTGCTTGGTCTTAGTATGATTAATTAGAAGATCCTAGGATTCTTTTAACTACTAAGGGATCGTACACACTTCGCTTTGATTCAAGAAACAGTCAGGCTTATAAACAAAGTAAGAATTTATTTTACAAACACTTAAGACTTGACAAATGGTTTAAACTATTATTTACTGTGAGTGGATGTGAACTTAGATGGTGTCTGGAACCTATGTGTGAATATTGTATTCAGAATCTCCGTTCCCAGAGCTCTGGATATAAAATAATTTGGTTTGCATATACGCTATAAAGATGTTATTATCAGAGCCGCATGCAGACGCTATCTCGCTGTGTCTACCTCACCCGTTCTGGAAGACCCCCGTTGGATCCGAGATGTCCCGGGGCTGACGACCCCACCGCACCTGGCTCGTAGAAAAACCTCGATGCGCCCAAATCAGTCCTGGGACGTCTCCCGGGTCACAACGATAGATGAGACTGAGCGTCTTAAAAATAACTCTGAAGGAGTTTGGAGTCAGCTTTGTTCTGCAGGAAAACTATCTTGTTGTTCAGCTTCGCAGGTGCGAAAAAGGTTTAAGGTGTTGACGACGTGTCAAAATCCTTCTGGTTAGAGAGCTGCTAAAGATGGCCGATCTGAAGCTCGCTCTAGAACTGACTAATCGCTCAAAGCCATCTGGTTTTAAAGAATCAATAGTATGGTTTGGCCAGCCAATCAGGGGCTGACAAGTTTGAGAGGTTACCGAGCATCTCAGAGACACACCCTCTGTGTGATGGAGAATCCGAATTTAGGCAAAAGGTTCACTTCTGTGTCATGCATTAACTTAACTTTACTTGTGAGTGCAAATGTTATGACCTCGTCAAGTAAGCATACTTAAACCATCATTGAGCACAGATTAATATAACATTTCATTTATAATTACCAATGGCAATATTTAATTATCTTTAATTGTTAAATCTTCTTTCTGGGAATAAAGGAGTTTATTTTAAAGAGTTCCTCTATGATGGACCTTGGAGGAGAAAACGTTTATTGTTTATCATTCATTATCTCTGCAGTCCAGCTGGTGTGAGGAAGTAGGCTCTGATTAAAGGGACTACATGCAGACTTCGAGTCTCCTGTGAGGGGAAAAGATTGTAGGATGTATCATAGCCAGGGTAAGTCGACCTGTGGGATCTCAAAATCAGGCCATTTCGTGACGTTACAAGCACCAAAGTCCAACAGAGAGGGAGCAGCTGGCAGTAGTTTGTATACAGCCTGCCTGAGCCTCCACCACTGAAGAAGAAGCCCTTCAGCAGCCGGCTTCTTCTACACTCTCTGCCTGAAACGCATGAGTGAAGATGGACATAAGGACGTGTTTTAGACCAAAAGTACAACGACAGAACCCCAGCTTTGATGACACTGGTGCTGACTCAGGTTTGTGAGTCTTATTAGAAAATATTTGTTGTGCTGCTGGTTTGCCTAAAGTTAGCTTATCAGGTAAAGTTGTTGGAGAAAGAAAGGGAATATTTACTATCATCTCACACTAAACACTAACAGGAACAATACTCTGCCCTGAAAATGCTTAATTTGTAGCTTCAGATTAAACATTATGTGGTACAAGACGTGTGTGTGTGTGTGTGTGTGTGTGTGTGTGTGTGTGTGTGTGTGTGTGGACAATGGTTTAAGTCCCTGTTTCACTACAGGCATCATTAAAAATTCGGTTAATTTGATCAAAAGCAGAAAACACAAATTAGAAACCTAAATAATAAACACATGAGTATCTGAATACCTTACAAATATATATTTTCCCTGTCAGTGTTGGGTCGTCCATTCAATCTCTGCTCGTCCGGGGTCGGGTCACAGGGGCCGCAGCCTAAGCAGGAGTACCCAGACTTGGCTACACTTCAATTCAATTCAATTCAAGTTTATTTATAAAGCGCCAAATCACGACAAGAGTCGTCTCAAGGCCCTTCACATAATAAACATTCCAATTCACAGTTCATTAAGCCAATCAGAAATAATGTTTCCTATATAAGGAACCCAGCAAATTGCATCAAGTCACTGACTTGGGCCAGCTCTTCCGGGAGAATCCCAAGGCGTTCCCTGACCAGCTGAGAGACATAGTCCCTCCAGCGTGACCTGGGTCTTGGATTTTCTCCTAGTTAGACATGCCCAGAAAACCTCACCAGGGAGGCATCTTAGCCGTCATTTCCACTGGCTCCTCTTGATGTGAACGAGCAGCGGATCTACTCCGAGTCCCTCCCGAATGACCAACCTTCTCACCATATCTCTAAGAGAGGGCCCTTGCAGACGCAGCACCGAACCACCGATCAATCTTGTGCTCCATCTTTTCCTCACTCGTGGCCCAAATAACTCCCTATTCTTCAAAAACACGTTTCTTTTTTATGATTGTAGTTGTGCGTGTGCATATGGCTTCCACGGCACGTTCTGTGAGGTGAATGTGGACGACTGTGAGGACAACGGATGTGACAACGGTGCCACCTGTGTTGATGGAGTTGGCAACTACAGCTGCCTGTGTCCTCCCAACTACACAGGTCTGACACCAGCATTGTCCTCACATCAGCTTCATCGTCTCAATAAAAAGTCAGCTCAGTGAAAAGTCGGAGCAGGTTTCCTTTACACCCGCTCTCTCCACTCATCCTCAGGTCCGTTCTGTGAAGAGGAGGGAGACCCTTGTTCTCCTGGCAGGAACCTGTGTCAGCATCAGTCCACCTGCATAAGCGGTGCTACAGGCTCTAGGTGATCCTGCGCACGCACACACACACACACGCGCGCACACACACACACACACACACACACACACACACACAGTCTTGCATCATGTAACAATGTTTTGGGTTCCAGGTGTGTATGCATCCCTGGCTGGGTGGGGCCCGATTGCAGCATAGATTATAATGAGTGTGTGGATCACCGCTGTCAGAATGGAGCGCAGTGTGTCGACCATCTGGATGGCTACAGCTGTCTCTGTCCACAGGGATTCAGGTACTGGCAGCTCTGGGAAGACTGGGAACTAGATTGGTCAGAAGCCTGGGGTATGGGGGTATGGGGCCTTGAGTGTAATAGAGAAAACATTTACAATTTCCTTGTTTAGCTCATTCAGTGCTATGGAAGAGAGTTCATACCCCCTGAACACACCATCCTCGCTATGAAACATGGTGGTGGCAGCATCATGCTGTGGGGATGCTTTTCTTCTGCAGGGACAGGAAAGCAGGTCATAATTGATAGAAGATGGATGGAGCTGAATAAAGGGCAGTCCTAGAAGAACACCTGTTGGAGACTTCAAAGGACCTGAGAGTGGGGAGGAGATTCACCTTCCAGCAGGAGAATGACCCTGATCATACAGCAAGAGCTTCAATGGAATGGTTTTCAGATGTGGACAACATTGTTGGTAACCTTCAGTCAAAGAAAACCCCAAAATGATCTCATAAGTAGACAAAGTGATGAAAGAAGTAATAAAAAACAAAGTCTATGAAATGTAATCAATAAAAGCCAGACATTGGTATTCATCCATGCTTCAACTGAACGATGAAAATAAATAAACTCATGGAACAGGCTGGACTAAAATGATGGTTCCCCTAACTTAATAAAGGTAAAGTCCCATTAGTTGTCACACACACACAGGTGTGTGTGCGACATTTGTTCTCCACATTTGACCCATCCCCTGGGGGAGCGGTGAGCTGCAGACACAGCCGCGCTCGGGAACCATTTGGTGGTTTAACCCCCCAATCCAACCCTTAATGCTGAGTGTCAAGCAGGGAGGCATTGGGTCTTTGGTATGACCCGACCAGGAATCGAACCCTGATCTCCCAGTCTCAGGGCGGACACTCTACCACTAGGCCACTGAGCTGGTTGTACAGTTTCTGAGGCGATGACTGCAATGAAACTTCACCTCTACAGGTATTCTAACCCACTCCTGAAGAGCAAACTGCTCCAGTTAAGAATGCCAACTTCACAGCAGAAGTAAAAGATTTAGTCATGACAACTCTGAGTGGGGTGAATCCTTTCGTAACTCTTCAGTTTAGGTGTAATGAAATGCTCATAATGACAAGTAATTAGATTAGACAGGCAGCATGAGTGTCAGACTCATGTCAGAGCTAGCGCTAGTGCCTAGCTCCGAGGAAGGTTTTAGCTAGGGAGACACCCTCTGAACCTTAGCTGTGTCCTCGGTGTGTTCACAGAGGACAAGCTGTGGAGGTGATTGCGCTAAGAAGCTTCTTCTTCTGCTTCTTTTTTTTTTTAAGTAGTAAATACAATCATAATTGTGTACTTTTTTGCTGGTTGAATAACACTGCTTGGTTAAACATGTTAGTGGGGGTGCTTGCTGGATAACGAAACACGAGTGGGTGCCTGGTTTCTCCTGGCTGGGAAAAGTTGTTGGACACAGTCCTGCTGGCTCTACCTCTTTTCCTCTGTCGGGCCAACTATCAACATCCCAGCCCGGTTATGTTGGTAGCACCACATCTCCTCTGCGGGGTCGATCCTCCACTCCTCCTATATGAAGCCAATTTTGGGTTTTAAGCTTGTCCATACCGTCCGGTGACTCTCCGAGATGACGTCCATTTTGCGCACTAATACCGGTATCGCAGCTAGAACTTTGTCCTGATTTTGATTCACCTCGAGTAACGTACCAGTCTGAGAAGTCTCCACATGGACGGTGCTTTTTGTGGGTGCGGGTCGCCCTCCAGTCGCTCCCGCCTTCCCAAATTTCCAGAAAACCAGATATCCTCCCACTCCAATCAGGAGAAATCCAATGATCATCAGACCAAATATCCACACTTCTTTGATGTCCTCAATGGACAGCTGGGAGAGGCACATGATCTTCCACTCCTTCCAGGAATCCAACATATGTCCCACCGGGTGTGTCCCCTGTGGACATGTGGGAGCCCCCTGCTCCGTTCTCATTGTTGAAAAAATCTTATCTCATCCAGAGTCGGATCACGGGGGCAGCAGCCTAAGTCGAGAGGCCCAGACTTCCCTCTCCCCAGCCACTTGGACCAGCTCTTCTGGGGGAATCCCAAGGTGTTCTCTGGCCAGGTTTGAGACATTGTCCCTCCACCGTGTCCTGGGTCTACCTTTAGGTCTCCTCCCGGTTGGACGTGCCCGGAAAACCTCACCAGGGAGGCGTCCAGGAGACATCCTGACCAGATGCCCGAGCCACCTCAACTGAATATGTCTGATTTTTATTCGTTAAATTTCATAGAACTTGTGTATTATTACTTTTGTCAGATTCAAGTTTTTTCTGCGACCATTTTGGGTTTTTCTTTCATTGACTGAAGGGTACCAACTATTTTGTCCTCGTCTGTAGATCAACGGCCCAGTCAGAGGCAAGGCCTAAATCCCAGGAAGGCCTGCTGTTCCGATTCTCTACATCTCAATAAAAACATGTTTGTAGTTGTAAGGTGTCACGATGTGCAGAAATTCAAGGGTCTTTTGGAATAATGAGCTACTTTTTGTCACATTTGAAAGTCACTTTTTCTGCCACAGTTTCTGGGGAGAGTTCAACTTAACGTTTAAACATAAATCCATGTGATGTAGTCAAATACAAATAATAATCAAGTCAAGTTGAAGTCTAACTTTGAATTTGAAACACTTTAAACAAAAATTTTTAGTAACATCGAAATTCATGAATAGAAGGAGCCCATCTGCCTAAGATCAGGTTGATGACTTCCCCGACCGAACGTCTCAGACTTCCTTTCATGGTGAGATTGTGTTGGTCCCTTTGACCATCATCAATGACCCTATCTGGGCTGTTCTACACATCGACAAGTGATGCGTGGTTAAACGGTAGAACCTTAGAACTCTAAGACCTTATATGGGAGATCTTCTGACCTTGCTCTTATTATTGTTAAAGAGCAAGTCACCCCCACATCAACTTTCTTTACTGATAAATTTGTGTCTAATAGTGTTGGAAACATCTGTAGCCATGTTTCCACCTCCGGAACTGTGGGCTAGGTTTACAGGAACCTCCTGACATGCGTGTTTCCACCTGACCGGGCTGTTTTCAGGAGCCTTCTGATACTTGCTCAGGGGTAGGTTCTCCGAACGACCCGGTGGGGTAGCTGAGCAGAACCTCTGGTTAACTCACTCTGATTGGTTGTAACTCAGTAGGAAATGACATCAGCAGACGTCGTCCAAAACAACCGGCATGAAGAGTTGCTGGTGAAGCAGACTGGAAGCAAAGAAAAACGAACACCCATCGTGTTTAAAATCTAACCCCAGTCAACGGGCTTTGTTGTCTCAAAGAGCACCAAGAAAACCAACACTTCATCTGGTCATTGAACACCACACTTTACATCACACAGCTGCCCACATCCTCTGAATGGATTCAATTATGATAAACTTTGACAGAATAAATGGTTTTAATACTATCAATATTACTGTGGACGCTTTTTCACGCTGATCAGTGACATCACTCACCGCCAAAGCAGTCTTGATGTGCTGACATCTGTGCAGAGTTCATGACCGCCCCTAGAAAACTGCTTCACCCTCTCCGTCGGCAAGCACCGCCTTCTTGTGTGGGTGGAGTGAAGGGTGATGTTAAGGAGTGGACTTTTTCACAAACATCTTCCTAAAATTCCCTGAACCACCTTGTTCTGTATGAGTTGCTGGGGTTTTCACAACCATTAGCTGTTTTTCATTAACTTGTTCTCATCCTTCCAGTGATGCAAACGTTAGAAAGACTTAAAATAGCAAATATCAGATGACTTATTTATTGCATTACAGCAAAAACACAAAGCTCTTCATGGCTTTTTTTGGTCTTTCTCAGTGGTGAATATTGCGAGGTGGTCCCTCCTCCCCCCTCCCCCTGCCAACTGGCTCCATGCCAGAACGGCGCCCCCTGTGACGAGAAGCAGGGAACTGCAGTCTGCCAGTGTCCACCGGGCTTTGAGGGTCAGAGCTGCGAGAAACTGGTCAGCGTCAACTTTGTTGATAGAGATTCTTATGTTCAGCTTCAAGATGTGAAGAACTGGCCTCAGAGCAACATCACACTGCAGGTGAGTCTTCCACGTGTGATGAGGTGAAGCTCACCTGTAGCCTGAGAACTCATAAGAGGACGTCTGTCTTCTTGGTGTTTCAGGTGTCGACAGCAGAGGAAAACGGTATCTTGCTCTATAACGGCGACGACGAGCCCTTTGCTGTGGAGCTCCATCAGGGTCGTGTTAGGGTCACCTTCGACCCTGGCAACCTGCCTGCCACCACCATTTACAGGTGACACACGTGTGCATATGTGAAAACCTCATTCAGACCCGAACTTTTTTAACGTTCTTGAGCTAAAGCAGGCACTGTGAGAATGCCACTCACACAGTTTGGGTCCCAGTTGTGCAGAGGCGGTAACAGAGACGTTACACATGTAGAGGCGGTAACAGAGACGTTACACATGTAGAGGCGGTAACAGAGACGTTACACATGTAGAGGCGGTAACAGAGATGTTACACATGTAGAGGCGGTAACAGAGACGTTACACATGTAGAGGCGGTAACAGAGATGTTACACATGTAGAGGCGGTAACTGAGACGTTACACATGTAGAGGCGGTAACTGAGACGTTACACATGTAGAGGCGGTAACAGAGACGTTACACATGCAGAGGCGGTAACTGAGACGTTACACATGTAGAGGCGGTAACAGAGACGTTACACATGCAGAGGCGGTAACAGAGACGTTACACATGCAGAGGCGGTAACAGAGACGTTACACATGCAGAGGCGGTATCAGAGACGTTACACATGCAGAGGCGGTAACAGAGACGTTACACATGTAGAGGCGGTAACAGAGACGTTACACATGCAGAGGCGGTATCAGAGACATTACACATGTAGAGGCGGTAACAGAGATGTTACACATGTAGAGGCGGTAACAGAGACGTTACACATGTAGAGGCGGTAACAGAGACGTTACACATGTAGAGGCGGTAACAGAGACGTTACACATGTAGAGGCGGTAACAGAGACGTTACACATGTAGAGGCGGTAACAGAGACGTTACACATGTAGAGGCGGTAACAGAGACGTTACATATGTAGAGGCGGTAACAGAGACGTTACACATGTAGAGGCGGTAACAGAGACGTTACACATGTAGAGGCGGTAACAGAGACGTTACACATGTAGAGGCGGTAACAGAGACGTTACACATGTAGAGGCGGTATCAGAGACGTTACACATGTAGAGGCGGTAACAGAGACGTTACACATGTAGAGGCGGTAACAGAGACGTTACACATGTAGAGGCGGTAACAGAGACGTTACACATGTAGAGGCGGTAACAGAGACGTTACACATGTAGAGGCGGTAACAGAGACGTTACACATGTAGAGGCGGTAACAGAGACGTTACACATGTAGAGGCGGTAACAGAGACGTTACACATGTAGAGGCGGTAACAGAGACGTTACACATGTAGAGGCGGTAACAGAGACGTTACACATGTAGAGGCGGTAACAGAGACGTTACACATGTAGAGGCGGTAACAGAGACGTTACACATGTAGAGGCGGTATCAGAGACGTTACACATGTAGAGGCGGTAACAGAGACGTTACACATGTAGAGGCGGTAACAGAGCTGTTACACATGTAGAGGCGGTAACAGAGACGTTACACATGTAGAGGCGGTAACAGAGCTGTTACACATGTAGAGGCGGTAACAGAGACGTTACACATGTAGAGGCGGTAACAGAGACGTTACACATGTAGAGGCGGTAACAGAGACGTTACACATGTAGAGGCGGTAACAGAGACGTTACACATGTAGAGGCGGTAACAGAGACGTTACACATGTAGAGGCGGTAACAGAGCTGTTACACATGTAGAGGCGGTAACAGAGACGTTACACATGTAGAGGCGGTAACAGAGCTGTTACACATGTAGAGGCGGTAACAGAGACGTTACACATGTAGAGGCGGTAACAGAGACGTTACACATGTAGAGGCGGTAACAGAGACGTTACACATGTAGAGGCGGTAACAGAGACGTTACACATGTAGAGGCGGTATCAGAGACGTTACACATGTAGAGGCGGTATCAGAGACGTTACACATGTAGAGGCGGTAACAGAGACGTTACACATGTAGAGGCGGTAACAGAGATGTTACACATGTAGAGGCGGTAACAGAGACGTTACACATGTAGAGGCGGTAACAGAGATGTTACACATGTAGAGGCGGTAACAGAGCTGTTACACATGTAGAGGCGGTATCAGAGACGTTACACATGTAGAGGCGGTAACAGAGATGTTACACATGTAGAGGCGGTAACAGAGACGTTACACATGTAGAGGCGGTAACAGAGATGTTACACATGTAGAGGCGGTAACAGAGACGTTACACATGTAGAGGCGGTAACAGAGCTGTTACACATGTAGAGGCGGTAACAGAGACGTTACACATGTAGAGGCGGTAACAGAGACGTTACACATGTAGAGGCGGTAACAGAGATGTTACACATGTAGAGGCGGTAACAGAGACGTTACACATGTAGAGGCTCACGGGCTGGATTGTGAGTTAAAACTGTTTCTGTGTTAGAGGTTAGAAGTGGGAGCAGGTTATAATGGGCTTATAGTAACCTAAAACATCCATCATTGTTGCTGTTTACTGTAAGGATGCAAAGTCCATCCCCTACAAGGTTCATACGATATTCAAATCTAAGTTCATAGAAACATTCATCAGATTTTATTTATTTATTAAAAAACTAGATTAAAATTGTAAGCCTGATCTCTGATCTGCTGGTAGAACCTCCTCCAGCAGCTGGACTGTTTCTGGCATGGTTCTGGAAGAGTTCTGCTCCACTCTTCTTTACCTGCTGCTGTGTCTAGATCGTGGTTCTGGTTTATAACCCAGTTTGGTCCAAACACCAGCTGTCAGACAGATAGACCCACATCTCACTCTAGAAGACTTTAGTCTACAGAGAAGATCATGGTGGACTTGATGACTGGAAGGAGCCCAGACATGAGCCCTCCACCACCGTGCTGACAGCTGGGATCAGCTGATTCAGCTTTTCTGACGTTTTAGTATTTTAACAAACACAGATGAATTGTTTGCGTGTTTAACATTTTGAGGTTAAATTTTAATCATTTCCAGAAACAAAGTCCGCTAGACGTCAAATATTTAACTTCACTGCTGAGTTTGATTCATAGACATTTGAGTTTTTTTTCGATAGTTCTAGGGTCTTCTTCATCTTGTAGTTTTAAATGTTCATTGTCCAACAAAATGATGAAGAACTTATTTGTCCCACAGTAACCGCTGAGTAATACAGCCATCTACCTGACTCTGGAGCCAATAGCTGCTGGTTGATGACTGGGATCTCAGTATTTGAAGAGTTACGCGTGTCATTTCAGTCATCCAGCTGCATACTTTCTCCATCAGTTGACACCTGACCCCTAAACAAACCACCCCCTCATCGCTATATTTAAACACAAGCCAGTGTTTCTATCCATCTTCATCTGCTTATTTGGGGTAGGTCACGGGGGCAGCAGCCTAGGCAAAGAGGTCCAGACTTCCCTCTCCCCTCGCAGAGTCGTGTCTGTTCCACTGAATGTGAGGGCAGGGGTGGGGGGATGGGGGTGGGGTGGGGGTGGGGGGGTGGGGGGGATTGGTCAGTTGACAGCTCCGCCCCTCTCTTCACCCGAGTGTCCAAGACATGCGGCCGCAGGTCAGAAGAAACAACAACAAAGTGGATCATCGAGCTGCGGCCTAAGGTATCCTGGTGCCAAGAGCACATATGGACACCTTCATGTCTGAAGATGGTGTTCATCATGGACAATCCATGATGAGTACAGAAGTCCATTAACAAAACACCACTCAGATTCTGATCGGGGGGCCGTTCCTCCCAACCACACCCCTCCAGCTCTCACTGTCGTTAACCCCAGGAGCGCTGAAGTCTCCAGCAGAACGACTTCCTGTTTCCCTTTGATAATATGAGTTTAAGTCCCCTTTCCAAGTTTTGCTCAAGTGATAAAGTGCTCCTTATTGTCTTTATTTTGTTAACTAACCAGGATAGCCAGCATGGCTGCCTGCTGTCCAACAGAAAGTAAACAATAATACTAGAAAAATCCGTATTTTGGATGGATCCGATCAGAGTCTGGAACCGTAGCGTCCAGGCATCATCGCTTCCTGTTAAGAATCAGTCACACCTGGGTGCCGGGCTCGGCCGGCTAGGGGGTGGGAGGCTGCGGGTGGGTCTGTGGGCTTGCCGCTGATATCTCCCGGGACTCTGTCGGCTGCTGGTTGTGGCCCCCCGGGGCGATCCTCTGCTCCTCTCGAGGGGAGCGGGGGCTTTTCTGGTTGCAGTCTCCTTGGGGACCCTGTGCTCTGGAGCAGCTCCTGGATCTCTGGGACTTGGAGCTCCCCCCGTCTCCTACACATCTTTGGGGGAAGATCTGTGGCCCCTCACACTCTCTGTTGGACGCTCCTATAGAGAAACCTTACATAAACAAGCGCGTGTGCACACACAGGTGCTCACATAAGTATGGACTTGGGCACGTTCAACACGTCTTAAGGCTGTGGTTGGCACTAAATACACTGTGATTTATTATCGTGTGATTGTTCAGTAAAATAATGTTGATTTTATATTTCTTCATCTGGTTGATGCAGTGATAGTTTGCTCCTGTTGTATTGTTGTCTGTCCCTTTTCTGCAGGTCTAGAAGCAGACTCTTGTCCATCATTGACTGTTTATTTTTGTGTGTGCAGTCTGCATCTGATGGAGTTTAGCGAGTTTGCAAATAACGGTGGTTTGATCTTAGGAAGGGACGGTTTGCATGCCGCTAAATAATTCCACTGAATGGTTTGGTTTGAAAGGATGGTAACTGCGCATGAGCTGGAGCTTTGGCTGAACTGGTGAATATAGGAAGTGTTCTCTCTATTAAGAATTGGTTGTTTATAAGTTTATAAGACCAATCAGAATCCAGGGAGTGTACATGCCTCATCAAATAATTCTCAGACGACACATTTTATTCTCAAACACGTAGGAAAGCTTTCCTCCCTTCATGTGAAGTAAATATGTTAACAGTCATTAGTTAAACTACTGATAGTAATATGTGAATGAAACTGATAATAAATCATCAAGTAGACTCATTTGGTGTATTTATGATCTGAAATGGGTCATAAAATAATAAACAGTAATGTTGATTCATTCATTGCTGTGAAGCAGTCTAGCCATTATAAAATCATATTAGATAAAACATTCACGGGCTTCTGGAGAGCTGGATGAGCTGCTGCACAGGTGAATCAACTGTGTTGGAATAGGGAAACAACTAAAAGATGCAGGATACTGGCCCTGCATTGTTGCTTCATGCAACATTGAACTGAAATGTATGACACCCAGGAACGTACTTCTGAGCATCAACAGGTCCGAAGTCTTTCTTTGCTAGTGTACTCTCAGTTTTATCATTTTAAATGAAGTCTTTACATTTCTGACCACTGTGATTAGTTCTGAGACAGTTAACGACGGAGATTTCCACACGGTTGAGCTGGTGACCTTCGATCGGATGGTGAACTTGTCGGTGGATGGAGGAGAACCAACAACCCTGGACAATCAGGGTCACAGCCAGCCAGTGACAGGAGAAGCTCCTCTATATGTAGGAGGTAGTAGCTAATCTCTGTCAGACACAAACATTTCAGGTCCAGAAGTTTAGCTGTTTTCTTTCCAAACAGAAATAATCGTCTGTCTCCACATCCAGGCTTGCCTGAGGAGGTCATACCAGCCTCTCGGGGACTCTCATCCCAGACCCTCAACCTGTCCAGCTTCCACGGCTGCATCAGGAATCTTTATATTAACCACGAGCTGCAGGATTTCACCCGAAGCCACATGAAGCCGGGCGTCGTTCCAGGCTGCCAGCCTTGTCAAAAACTTCACTGTCTTCATGGCATTTGCCAACCAAACACTGCACAGGTATCAGCCTCCCATTGTTCGTGTGAATCAATAATCCTGACTCATGTCCAGGTCTGGTTTGACTAGATGGATCTTCCACTGTAACTGTGATTAGCATCATATGAATGACTGCAGTGGATCACTGAAATTCCCTTTATTTCCTTTAACATACAGTCTGTAGTTGGGATGGTGGTGGTGTGTGTGTGTGTGTGTGTGGGGGGGGGGGGGGTGGGGGGTGGTTTTGATCCTATTTAACTAATAGAGGTTTTTATGTCAGAGCTGGTGACTTGGTGTCCTCCACGACTAACCTGTCATGTGGTGTGCCACAGGGGTCAATCCTTGAGCCACTCTTGTTCTCCCATACTTGCTTCCACTGGGATCCCAATGTTTTGGGGTGTCCTTCCACCTTTATCTTGATGCCAGCCAAGGGTTAGGGTTAGGGTTTCCAACTGATAGCTGCGGAATAACGAGCACTACTTAAGCCAAAGTTTTATAATCAGGAAGCGTTTCTCCAAATGAAACAACCAGAAGTCTACCGGACTGTCTAATAGATAGAAGGCGTTCCACTCGACTGCACTCTTGTGCACGACGTCGAGTGTGTCACAGACGCCCTCCCAGCTCCTCCTCAGCACGCCGCTTGCTCACGCTGTCAGAGAAAGTATGAGAGGATGCTCAGATGCGCTGATGTTACCTTTGCGATGTTTTCTGTGCGTAACGTGTGAAACGTGTTATTTACAGACTCATGCACAGGCAAACAAACAAATAAATAAATAAACAAATTGCCTCTCGTAAAAACAACCGTAACAGCTCAGCCTATCGCCGATGGTCGAATAATTCGTCCCATCGCCCAACTCTACTGCAGCTCAACTATTGGAGTGAGCATAAATCCTGGATGTTTGCGAACTTCCTGTATTTCAGTGAGAGAAAAGCAGAAGTTTTTCTTACTAGGCTTGGTAAGGGTTAGGGTTAGTAATACCGTTAATCCTATTCGTTAAGCTCACCGTTTCTAGTGTTGGTGTGGAAATGGAAGGATTTTTTGCTGTGGTGAAGACCGGTTTCTTTGATTTGAGGCAACTAGCCCCAATAAAACTTCTGATTCATGCCTTAGTGACGATTACGCTAGACTACTGACATCCTGTGTGCCAGCATCAGTGCCTGATTACACGTCTGCAGCTAGTTCAGTTTTTAACAGGGACATGAAAGCAGTTCCCTCTGATACGGGCTGTTAGGTCCCTGGATGACCAGTGTCAGAGCTTGGTCCGCAGTGCCGGCAGTAAGTCGGGCTCGTCCCCAGTGAGAGTTGGACTCGGCCAAGGCTGCCCTTTGTCACCGATTCTGTTCATAACCTTTATGGATAGGATTTCTAGGTGCAGCCAAGGTGTGGAGGGCATCCATTTTGGTGGCCTGAGGATCAGGTCTCTGCTTTTTGCAGATGATGTGGTCCTGTTGGCTTCATCAGAACGTGATCTTCAGCTTTCGCTGGAGCGGTTCACAGCTGAGTGTGAAGCAGCTGGGATGAGAATCAGCTCCTCTAAATCTGAGACCATGGTCTTGATTCGGAAAAGGGTAGAATGCCTTCTCCGGGTCAGGGATGAGGTCCTGCCCCAAGTGGAGGAGTTTAAGTATCTCGGGGTCTTGTTCACGAGTGAGGGGAAACTGGAGCGTGAGATCGATAGGTGGATTGGTGCTGCATCTGCAGTGATGCGGGCGTTGTACCGGTCTGTCGTGGTGAAGAGAGCTGAGTCAGAAACCCGATTTACCGGTGGATCTACGTTCCTACCCTCACCTATGGTCATGAGCTTTGGGTAGTGACCGAAAGAACGAGATCGCGGATAAAAGTTTTCTCCACAGATTGGCTGGGCTTTCCCTTAGAGATAGGGTGAGAAGCTCGGTCATCTGGGAGGGGCTCTGACTAGACCTGCTGCTCCTCTGCCTCATGAGAAGCCAGTTAAGGTGGTTCGGGCATCTAGTTCGGATGCCTCCTGAACGCCTCCCTGGTGAGGTTTTCCAGGCACGTCCAACCGGGAGGAGGCCTAATGGTAGACCCAGGACATGGTGGAGGGACTATGTCTCTCACCTGGCCAGGGAACGCCTTGGGACTTCCCCAGAAGAGCTGGCCCAAGTGGCTGGGGAGAGGGAAGTCTGGGCTTCTCGGTTTTGGCTGCTGCCCCGTGACCCGACTCCAGATAAGCGGCTGAAAATGGATGGATGGATGAAAGCAGTTTTATCTGCTTGTCCTTGGCTCCCTGTCTGTAATCAAATAGGTTTTATAATTCTTTAGTTTGTTTCTAGATGTCTAAGTGGTCTCGCCCTGAACTGACCTGCTGATGGTTCAGGAGACAGAGCTCTTCTGTCATTGGTCTGCTCGTTACTGGCTGTGGAATGATCTTCCCTTTAGTGTGAAACCGGCTAACGTGTTCAAATCTGGCCTTAAGACTCGTCTGTTCTCTTGTGCATTTGGCTCAAATGTCTTTGTGCCACTTTACTGTTTTGTTTCCATTTTGATGTGTACAACAGTTTGGTCCTCTTTGCTGTTGTCATCATCAGAGCTTTACAAGCAAACCGGATTTCATTCGGATGCTTCCTCGTTTCTCCTCAACATTGTTCTTCTCATAAATGTGTCAGCGGCTGATCTCGGATCACTTTTAGTGATAACGACTTATGCAAGCTTTGGTTCTTGTCTCACAGGGTCCCCAGTGCCACTGCCAGCCAGGGTGGACAGGAAGACACTGTAACCAGCCAATAACAGGAGGCCTTGGTGAATCGGGTATTGTCACCATGGCGACAAGGGTCAACCCCTGTGAGAGCAACAAGTGAGTGAAATGTATTCAGACCTGAAGATCAATTTCAGTTCTTCACTTTTCCCTTGTACCACATTTCTGTTCTTTTGTGTTTGTTTGTTTGTTTGTTTGTGAAGTTCATCCTGATGACTTTTAAGACTCGTCTACCTGTGTCCAGGTGTGTAAGGGGTGTGTGCGTGATGGTGGACGCACAGACATACCGCTGCAACTGTGAGAGGGGATATCAAGGGACGTTGTGTAACCTGCAGGAGGATCCAGGTGTCTCCTGCCAGGGGCTGACGTGTCTGCATGGCCGCTGTGAGAAGACGGAGGACGGAGACAGATGCGTCTGTGAGCAAGGATACACCGGAGACAGCTGTGACATAGGTGAGACCGGATGGGGACGATTAGAAAACGGAACTAGTGAATTGGTAAGCAGAACCACCCACTACCATTCTCCTGAGGGACATGTCTGAAGCACGGCCTGGTCCTTGTGCACCTCTGCTCTGTAGGATTTAGACGTTTCCTTCAGATTTCATGACCCAGTCATTGACAGGGTTCTGTGGAAGGAGGTGCTCTGATCGTCTGATGGTGGTGTGCCGAGGCTGGACAACATCTAAATCAGGCAGGAAAGTAGGACCGTGGTCAAAGATGACTAACAAGGTTTCCTGTGGGCACCTTTGTGTTCGAAGGATCTTTCATGGCGGTTAAAACGAAGAGTCGGAGTACCCGGCCCGGAGGGTTACCGGGGTCCCACCCTGGAGCCAGGCCTGGGGTTGGGGCCCGTGAGCGAGCGCCTGGTGGCCGGGCTTTCGCCCATGGGGCCCGGCCGGGCCCAGCCCGAACCGGATACATGGGCTCGTCCAACTGTGGACCCACCACCCGCAGGAGGAACATGAAGGGTCCGGTGCAATGCGAATCGGGTGGCAGACCAAGGCGGGAGCCTTGGCGGTCCAATCCCCGGACAAGAAAACTAGTTTTTGGGACATGGAACGTCACCTCGCTGGCGGGGAAGGAGCCGGAGCTTGTGGCAGAGGTTGAGCGGTACCGGCTAGATATAGTCGGACTCACCTCGACACATTGCATTGGAACCCGAGACCTGGAGAGGGGTTGGACACTCTACTTTGCTGGAGTTGCTCCGGGTGAGAGGCGGAGGGCTGGGGTTGGCTTTTTGTTAGCCCCAAGACTCTCCGCCTGTGTGCTGGGGTTTACCCCGGGGGACAAGAGGGTAGCTTCCTTGCGCCTTCAGGTCGGGGAACGGGTCCTGACTGTTGTTTGTGCTTATGGGCCAAATATCAGTTCAGAGTACCCACCCTTTTTGGAGTCCCTGGGACGAGTGCTAGATAGTGCTCCATCAGGGGACTCCATTGTCCTGCTGGGGGACTTCAATGCTCACGTGGGCAATGACAGCTTGACCTGGAGGGGTGTGATTGGGAGGAACGGCCCACCTAATCTGAACTCGGTGTTTTGTTATTGGACTTCTGTGCAAGCCGCAATTTGGCCATAACGAACACCATGTTCGAACATAAGGATGCCCACCGGTACACTTGGTACCAGGGCAGCCTAGGTCACAGGTCGATGATAGATTTTGTAGTCGTATCATCTGACCTGCGGCCGTGTGTTTTGGACACCTGAGTGAAGAGAGGGGCGGAGCTGTCAACTGATCACCACCTGGTGGTGAGTTGGATCAGATGGCAAGGGAACATGCCGCGTAGACCTGGCAGACCCAAACGCATAGTGAGGGTCTGCTGGGAACGCCTGGCAGAAGAACCTGTCAAGAGGGTCTTCAACTCCCACCTCCGGCAGAGCTTTGACCACGTCCCGAGAGCAGTGGGGGACATTGAGTCCGAGTGGGCCTTGTTCCACTCTGCGATTGTCGAGGCGGCTGTTGCTAGCTGTGGTCGTAAGGTGGCCGGTGCCAGTCGTGGTGGCAACCCCCGTACCCGCTGGTGGACACCAGAGGTTCGGGGAGCCGTCAGGCTGAAGAAGGAGGCCTACAGGGCGTGGCTGGTCTGTGGGTCTCCGGAGGCAGCAGACAGGTACCGGATAGCCAAGCGGGGTGCAGCAGTGGCAGTTGCCGAGGCAAAATCTCGGGCGTGGGAGGAGTTTGGTGAGGCCATGGAGAAAGACTATCGATCGGCTCCAAAGAGGTTCTGGCAAACTGTCCGGCACCTCAGGAGAGGAAGGCAGCAACTCGCTCACACTGTTTACAGTGGGGATGGGGAGCTGCTGACGTCAACTGAGGCTATAGTCGGACGGTGGAAGGAATACTTTGAGGAGCTCCTCAATCCCACCAATGCGCATTCCGAGGAGGAACCAGAGCTGGAAGGCCTGGGGATGGACTGTCCGATCTCGGGGGCAGAAGTTGCTGAGGTAGTCAAACAACTACACAGCGGCGGAGCCCCGGGGGCGGATGAGGTTCGTCCTGGGTATCTCAAGGCTATGGATGTTGTAGGGCTGTCATGGTTGACACGTCTCTACAACATTGCGTGGTCATCGGGGGCAGTTCCTAGGGAGTGGCAGACCGGGGTGGTGGTCCCCATCTTTAAGAAGGGTGACCTGAGGGTGTGTTCCAACTATAGGGGGATCACACTCCTCAGCCTCCCTGGAAAGGTCTACGCCAAGGTACTGGAGAGGAGGGTCCGATCGATAGTTGAATCTCAGATAGAGGAGGAGCAATGTGGTTTTCGTCCTGGCCGTGGAACTGTGGACCAGCTCTATACCCTTGCAAGGGTGATGGAGGGGGCATGGGAGTTTGCCCAACCAATCCACATGTGTTTTGTGGATTTGGAGAAGGCTTATGACCGTGTCCCCAGGGGCACCCTGTGGGGGACGCTCCAGGAGTATGGGGTGGGTAGCTTTCTGTTAAGGGCCATTCAGTCCCTTTACCAGAGGAGCGTGAGTTTGGTCCGCATAGCCGGTAGTAAGTCGGACCTGTTCCCAGTGAGGGTTGGACTCCGCCAGGGCTGCCCTTTGTCACCGGTTCTGTTCATCACTTTTATGGACAGAATTTCTAGATGCAGCCGTGGTGTGGAGTGTGTCGAGTTTGGTGGCAGGAGAATCTCGTCTCTGCTTTTTGCGGATGATGTGGTCCTCCTAGCTTCATCCAGCTCTGACCTTCAGCTCTTGCTGGGTAGGTTCGCGGCCGAATGTGAAGCGGCTGGGATGAGGATCAGCACCTCCAAATCTGAGACCATGGTTCTCGACCGGAAAAGGGTGGCTTGCCAACTCCGGGTCGGGGGAGAGGTCCTACCTCAAGTGGAGGAGTTTAAGTATCTCGGGGTCTTGTTCACGAGTGAGGGTAGGAGGGATCGGGAGATCGACAGGCGGATTGGTTCGGCGTCTGCAGTGATGCGGACGCTGAGCCGATCTGTCGTGGTGAAGAGGGAGCTGAGCCAGAAAGCCAGGCTCTCGATTTACCGGTCGATCTACGTCCCAATCCTCACCTATGGTCATGAGCTTTGGGTAATGACCGAAAGAACGAGATCGCGGATACAAGCGGCCGAAATGAGTTTCCTCCGTAGGGTGGCCGGGCTCAGCCTTAGAGATAGGGTGAGGAGCTCGGACATTCGGGAGGGACTCGGAGTAGAGCCGCTGCTCCTCCGGATCGAAAGGAGCCAGTTGAGGTGGTTTGGGCATCTGGTCAGGATGCCTCCTGGACGCCTCCCCGGGGAGGTGTTTCGGGCACGTCCTGCCGGCAGGAGGCCCCCGGGTCGACCCAGGACACGTTGGAGAGGTTACATCTCCAATCTGGTCCGGGAACGCCTTGGGGTCCTGCCGGAGGAGCTGGTGGACAAGGCCGGGGAGAGGACGGCCTGGAGCTCCCTAATTGGGATGCTGCCCCCGCGACCCGGACCCGGATAAGCGGAGGAAGACGAAGACGAAGACGAAGACCTTTGTGTTATTTAGCTAAATGAAGGCCAGGCAAGCATTGATGAGAAATCTCTTCCTTGCAGTCTGGACCAGGTTGACGTCAGACACAGGAGGTCTGGATGGTGAGTTGGCAAGAGGGGCGAGGGGTGAATTGCAGGGGGTATGGGGGTGGGGAGTGGTGGGATACCTCAGGTGGATCAATGAAGCTAGAGGTCAGTGGAGCAGGGGGGAAGTCCGCCGGTCTGTCTGCTTTATGCAGATATGCAGTAGCTCTTCCAAGTGTTCAGAGGAGATCTTCTGGTTTGGAAACATCCTGCAGGCTGCCCATGGAATGGTGAGCAGATGAACTCCTTTGTGAAAGCTGACCTGCTGTGGAGATCTCCTGATCTCGTCTTTGTAATCATATCTGTTCAGGCGAACCCCGTCAGACGAGAAGAGGCGTCTGCGGTCCCAAACAAAGTTCAAGTTGTCAATGAGATAGATTCCCTCTGTGTGGTGAACACTGATCAGCCAAGGGCTGATAGATACGGCTGAAACGGTCATCTCCGCTCAGGACCGGTGGTAATGGTTATGACCACATGAATTATGGTTGTTTAACAGCTGGATGTTTAGCGAGGAGTGCTGGGAGTCGTTCTCTCGTGTCAGCGAGCGAATCCTTGGGAAAACAGGATGTTCTGGTATTTTTGCCATTCAAATCCACATTCTTGACATGAAAGTCGTCTACGTTAAGGGTCAGCCTCAGAGGGGTTTGTCGTGGGGATTTAGTGGAGGAGACAGGGCGCTTTCCCGGTTATCTGGTGTGGATGTTTCCGATCCCGGGTCGTTCAGCAGCTGAATGCTTGGCTGGTGAGAAATTCCCTTGATATTCCTTTTTTGCCTCCTTGTTGGTGTGTGGTGGAACGCCATGCATCAGTAAAACAGGAAGAGCAGCACTTCTTGTGTGCTGGAATCTGGACGTCTAACCTGAAGAGGAATAGTTATTAATGACGCTGAAGAACCCGTTAAGTTCTTATGTTTCCGTTTAAAGCAACTTCTGCGATCTCTCCAGGGTCTCTGTGAGTAGGAAGAGCTTGTCCACAGCTATAAGACCAGGACCACCCTTCACTTCTCCAACACTAAGCTTGGACCATCTCAGAGGAATGAAGCAGATAAAACCCTTCTGTCGATGACCTCTTAAAGGAGACATATCATCCTTTAAATTCTTCCTTTTTACATCTAAATCATTCAGTGGGGGTCTAAACACAATGGAACTGCAGTTCTTGGGTCTGATTTCCTCAATATTGTTGCTAAAGTCCCTCATCTACCCGTTCTGAGGAGACTGAGAATGAGCCGTTTTTGGGTACTGTCTCTTTAAATCTGGAGGAGCTGCAAACCCCGCCCCCTCCACAGAGCAGACCTACTCTCCTCCCCCAGTCAGACTTTGTAGTTCTATAGAGAAATCATTATTTAGCGTAGCAGAAATGTTATGTTAGCATTTTTAAAACATGTGGGAAGAGTTGTCCATCAGGCTGTTTCAGGGCTGCTAACTCTAAAGCCGGGCGGACACTGTGCGACTTTTTCACTCGTTGCACTCAGCTTCAGCTCAAACTGTACGACTTCCTCGCAGAGCAGATCTCACAAGTCATGTGCTCACACTGTACGTCTGGTAGCAACACGTCGGACCTAAAAATATGCTAAAAATAGCAGTTTTTACTCAACACGTCAGACTTATTTGTCTTGCCTGTTGTCGTTCGGGAGTGCTGCAGGAGGACACACAGGGATTTATGGGGGTTGGATGAGGAAAACGAAATAAAGAAAGTAAATCTGTGTTTTGTGATCAGTTTAATTTGACATGAACACGACAAACACGCTTTCTTGACAATCTTTGTCACTGTGTGTAAAAAAATACTGTGTAGAAATAAAAACGAACAATGTGTGTTATTAGGGAAATAGCGGGCGAGCGGTGTTGATGCATGACTACGCCGTGAGCGGTTCTGATACTTTTTGGGTCGCAGCTGCTCGCAGCGCCGCTTCAACAGTGCGATACCCTCACGAGGAACAAGTGAAATATCAAACACTCCAGAAGTCCGTACGAGCTCACGACTGCTGATCGGTAGCTGGTCACGTGGTGTTAATCGCCTCTCGTAACCCCCTGTACACGACGCTCGGCACTAAACTCGCCCAGAGAATCTCGTGGATTCTCGCACGAGTGGAAAATCGGCTCAAAGAAGTGAAAAAGTCGCACAGTGTACGCCCGGCTGTCACTCCCCATACGCGCACGCACACACACACACGCACACACACACGCACACACACGACATGCACACGCACACACACACGCACGCACACACACACGCGCACGCTCATACGCACACGCACGCACTTACACACACACGCTCACACGCACACGCACGCTCACACACACACACACATGCACGCACGCACTTACACACACACGCTCACACGCACACGCACGCTCACACACACACACACATGCACGCACGCACGCACACACACACACACACACACACACATACACACACACACACACTAGTCAGTAGCTTCTGGGTTTTAAACACTGACACACCACCGTTCCTTAAGAGGAACAGTTCTGAGCTGCGTGGCTAAAATAACCACACATTCTGCGTTCTTCCTGTTGGACTACAAAAACCTTAGCGAGAAGAAAAAATGGCGGATTGGCTCCGTGTTTAGCCGGAGGTCCAGGACCATTTTTGGCAGTTATCGTGACGACATAGTCACGAGGTGTATTAGACACAGTTAAAACTGAACAGGTGGACAAACATGAGCAAAACTTTATAATAAAATATCTAAACAGCACCTTAGTGAATAATATCAGGCTGTTGCACACTTAGACGCTTAAAATGTGAAACACTGTATTAAGGGATAAAAAGTGAGTTTTTCGTGATCCGTCTACTTTAAGCAAAGCTGCACAGGGTGAGGGGGAGACCTCCAGCCCTGGAGCCTGCAGCTGAACAGCCTAACTACATCATGCCTCAGCACAAGTTTGTGTTTCACTCCAAGGAGTTTGGACCAAACACCACTAACTCCACGACACGCCCGGTCATTTCCCAAAACAGCTGAAACTGATGCAAACTCGTTTCAACGCTTTGTTCCCCGTTGGCTCCCCCCGCAGCCTGCGCCCTCCAACTGGCTGACTTTCCTGGACTGAACGGTGGTGCAGTGGGATAACACATGCCTGTTTTATTAGCGGGGGGGTGAAGTTGGCCTTGGGGGAGCATGACTGGTTGTTTTTCTCTGTTGTCCTGGGATGGACACAGACCTGCCCAACTGACAAACCTCTGATCAGTCTTTGTTCTTTGGTTCTTCTCCTGAATCAGTTGTTAAACGTGTGTTGTCGTGCAGGTAAGCCGTTGTTGAAGCGTTCCGGGTGACTTTAGTAACCATGAGCATGTGACTCCCTCCACAGCGTCTCCCTGCCGGGGCGAACCATTCAGAGACCACCACCGCCTGCAGCATGGCACCGTCTTCTGCCAGACCTCCAAACCCTTCTCCTGGGTTGAGTGTCGGGGTCAGTGCACCGCAGAGACCAAGCTGGGCGTTGGACCCCCCTCCTGCTGCGCTCCTCTGAGGGTCAGACGGCGCCGGCTTACCTTTGAATGTGACGATGGGACCTCACTTACACAAGACGTGGAGAAGCCAGTGGAATGCGGCTGCAAGGAGTGTGTGTGACACTTCTAAAGTGATGGTGCACACACACTCACAAGTAGATGCACACAGATAAAAACCCAGTCAGAACCAAGTTACACAGCTGCAGGACCCCCCCACAGACGAGCAAGTTGGGTGTTTGTATCACACACACACACACACACAATGAGCACCTGCCTAACTCCAGCTCAGATTTCAGTCGTGCCTGATGAGGGACGCTCTGCCCTTTGCTGGCGTGGTGGAGCGGATCAGAGGGCTGTGGTGTCCCCCGTCCCCCGCAGCAGCCACGGCTGCAGGGTTGGACACTTACAGCTTCATTAGCAACGCATTCTCTCTCCCGAAGCATCGAAAACTGTCGCTGGGTGACCAACCGTGGGGTTCCCGTGCGTTAGGAGGCCCAACACGCCGGTTTCCGACTCCCACGGCGGACAGAGATTTCACTGAATTCTGACCTTTGCCCTCTTGTACATTCAAAACGTTGTTCCTGGTTGTGATGTCCCTCTTCACCGAGTTTAGTGGGAAGTTTAGAATGAGCAATAGGATGGGGGTGAGGGGAGGGTTAAACAGCAAGAGGTTAGAGGTTAAATGCCAGGGAAGGGTGTGTTTTAATGCGGGCGTCTAAAACCAGCGCGTCACAAACACACACCTGGTCACAAACACACACCTGGTCACAAACACACACCTGGTCAGCCAGCGTCCGTTGTGGACGCTTCGGTGTGAGAACGAGTCGGCATTAGCATGGCGGTGTTGTTCAGGGAGACGGGCGTGAAGGTCCTCATCAACAGGAGCTTGTGTGTTGTTATCTTTGGAAAAGTGCAGCAGAGTTGCAACAACAAACAACTTCTGATGAGTGTGAGCCTGCACTCGCCTCCAGTGTTTAGTGGGAGGAGCTTCAACCCAGACAGGTGAAGCCATAGATCCACGGCGTTACAACCCCCTCCAGCACGTCCCTAATGCAGCAGTTATGGGATGCTGGTCTCACCCCCGTTAGCCACCCCTCATGTGCTGGAGCAGGTGTTCTGGTCCCAGTTACACCTGAGCCCACTAACACCAGAACTGAGTCATCAACATCTTTGCAGACCAGACCAAACGAGATCAGAATCACTCACACTTCTGAACTTTGACCTTGGCTGCTTTAAAAAGAAACATCACCACCCCACCCATGCCACGTCTAACATGACATGTGTAACAACTGTATGACTTATGTCCAAGGCCCCACCTCACTCTACCTAGCCCACCTGTCTACTCACCTCACCTGTCTACTCACCCACCTGTGTACTCACCTCACCTGTCTACTCACCTCACCTGTCTACTCACCCACCTGTGTACTCACCTCACCTGTCTACTCACCTCACCTGTCTACTCACCTCACCTGTCTACTCACCCACCTGTGTACTCACCTCACCTGTCTACTCACCTACCTGTCTACTCACCTACCTGTCTACTCACCTCACCTGTCTACTCACCTCACCTGTGTACTCACCTCACCTGTCTACTCACCTCACCTGTCTACTCACCTCACCTGTCTACTTACCTACCTGTCTACTCACCTCACCTGTCTACTCACCTCACCTGTCTACTTACCCACCTGTCTACTCACCTCACCTGTCTACTCACCTCACCTGTCTACTTACCCACCTGTCTACTCACCCACCTGTCTACTCACCTCACCTGTCTACTCACCTCACCTGTCTACTCACCTCACCTGTACCTAGCCCCACCTGTCTACTCACCCACCTGTCTACTCACCTCACCTGTACCTAGCCCCACCTGTCTACTCACCTCACCTGTCTACTCACCTACCTGTCTACTCACCTCACCTGTCTACTCACCTCACCTGTCTACTCACCCACCTGTCTACTCACCCACCTGGCTGCTCGCCCCACCACTGGCCACCAAAGGGACTGTAGGTGTGTGGGTTTTAACAGCTCCTTCAGGGTCAGGGCAGGCTGTCCTTGACGTCACGTAAACATGTTCAAACTGAATAAATGTCACCTCACACCCTGATTTTACGTGTTTGAGGAGCTGAACATGACCTGCTAACGCTTTGATTTTGTTGATGCTAGCAGTGAGTCGTACAGCTTTGCTGTGAGGACTTGTTTCTAATACCCCCCCCCCCCCCCCCCCCCCACACACACACACACACACACACAGCTTCGGTCTGTTGCTGGACACCAACCTCGTTGGATTTCACTGATAAACAGAAATGTTGGCCATTTCACAAAGTTTCTGCTAAACTAATCGTATCTGAGTCTTTATAGACGTTTTTATTTGTGAACAGCCTCTGTTCAGAGAAACAGCAGATCTGTCCTTGAAGATCGATAAGCTAATAGCTAGTCTGAATGCAGCCTAGACCAGGGTGACCCAGAACCACTCAGATCTCCTGACTTAAATCAACAGTTTTGTGTCCTACGTTGTTTCATGTTGTTAAATCAACACATTGATGTTGGGTGCAGCAGTTCTCCTCTCCTGCTGATGTTTAAAACCCGTGGCCGCTGACGATGGTGTGAAGGTTTAGCTGACTGGACTGCTTTTAGGACCGCTCAGCATGGTTTGGGTCTCCCAGTGGTCAGAGAAGGAATCCAGTCTAAAATTCTGTTTCTCCGGATTTATTCCACTCAGAAACTGTTCTGGTACTGAACTCTCCCACTAAGACAGCTCAGAAGGTTCCTTCTTCAGCAGATGGAGGCGTTATAAAGCAGCTCTCTGATCGCGCAGCACGCTCCTCACTAAGATGTTACAGCTGGTTTTCCTGCTTCCTGTCTGGGTTGTGAGACAAGCCCGTGCACACGTCCTGCAGACGCCCCAGAGGCTGTAGTTTAGTGTCTATAGTGTGTATTCGTGTGTGTAGTTGTGAGTTTTAACCTGTTTGTTTGGATCTGAGCGCCGACCAGGTAACATGCTAACAGAAGTGTTGTCCTGTTCGAGTCTCGGCCGTCGCCGCTTTGCCTGCTCGTATTCTAACTCTGAGATGTGTCTGGGTCTCGTCCAATGAACGATGACTTCCTGTTTCATATTTATTCAAATAAAGAGCTGTTTATCCTCTCCTGCACTTCTTTATTTTGGACCTCTGCGCTCCGTCTTCTGCTTGTTGCTGTGACCTTTGACCTCGTTATGTCCAGGTTGAGTCGAAGGGAGCTCATGTGAAGGGGGTGGGTAGATGTAGAAGGAAGAGAGACGGGGGCGTCCCGGTGTGGGGGCAGGGGGGCGGTTTAATGAAACAGTGATTTATGCATCCCTGCTCAGCCATAAAACATAAAACATACCCCCATCGGCGCTGACTCCTCCCCCACACGCACCCGTCCAGCTGGCTGTCCTCTGAAAGCTGCTGCTTCTCCCCATCTCCCCCACCTTCACCACCGTTTGAACCCTCCCCCTCTCCTCTCCTCTTTGGTGGGTTTTAAAGGAGGATAAATTCTCAGCAGCATCAGCACCCCAGACCCCAATTTCAATAAAACCTCTACATCTTCTCCTGCTGACAGAAGCATCACCCACCCCACCTCCCTGAGAGCTCCCGCGAGCAACAACCAACGTGTTTTTAAAAGTAGAATTTGCTAATGAAGTCAGTTTTGACAAGCAGAGGATCTAATAACTGTTAGCGATAGTGCATACATCCTGCGCTGACGGTGCATACATTTAGTCACAGGTGAAAGCAGCTCATCATCAGTGCCGCTTTAGAATGAGTCCAGTGAACCTTAAATGAAAAATTCAAGCTGTCTTCTTCACCTCCTAATGTATGCACACACATTCAGCGTTAATAGAAACCACACACCTCCTGGATGTAGTCCTCAGGTTTCTGCTGGGACCGAACAACCTCCGTGTCTGCTGAGACTGAAGAACGAGCGGAAAAGAAGTCGGAAACTCTGGAAGTCGACAGAAAATCAGTGAGGAGTAAGCTGTGGTTCTGCTGGGGCGGGTCCAGTTCAGCCCAGCCAGAGCTGTTTCCAGCAAGTCCTGATTTAAGAAATACAAATATTTTACCGCTTTGTTGGTGCCTCAAAGACTCGTTCCAGTCACTGGTGTTTAACGCTCATCAGCATCACAGCAGCCGTCCCTCGTTTCATCAGACCTTCAGCCTGCTAGAGGGGCACTAGTCTGGGATCCTGATGTGGACCACATGGGACCAGACACCAGGGGCGGATTTAGGACTGAAGAAGATCCGGGGCTTAACACACACACGTGTGCGCACACACACACACACATGACACGCACTAGTCAACATCATATATGTCTTGTACTACATAATTTTTAATCTGAAGCTACATATTCAGCATATTCAGGGCAGAGTATTGTTCCTGTTAGTGTTTAGTGTGAGATGATAGTAAATATTCCCTTTCTTTCTCCAACAACTTTACCTGATAGTAAGCTAACTTTAGGCAAACCAGCAGCACAACAAATATTTTCAAATAAGACTCACAAACCTGAGTCAGCACCAGTCTCATCAGAGCTGGGGTTCTGTCGCCGTACTTTTGGTCTAAAAACGTCCTTATGTCCATCTTCACTCATGCGTTTCAGGCAGAGAGTGTAGAAGAAGCCGGCTGCTGAAGGGCTTCTTCTTCGGTGGTGGAGGCTCAGGCAGGCTGTATACAAACTACTGCCAGCAGAGCCCTCTCTGTTGGACTTTGGTACTGCATGTTACTTCTGCGGTTGAGATCCGGGGCTTCAGCCCAAGTAGCCGGGCCTAACGCCGCCCCTGCCAGACACCACAGACCAGAGATGTCTGAGGAGCTTGGGCCTCTGGACTGTAGACAACCTCCAGGACGCGGACTCAAGAGCCAAATTCATCACTATACCACTAGAACGCTGAGAAGGTTAATGGTGAATAACAGTTAGGCAGGTTTAGTAGTGAATGCAGTGTAATGAGTTTAATGGTTGTAGCGATAAATATAGATTTATATTTATATTTCAAATGTGTCGAAGATTTAGCTTGTTTATAATCTTATATTAATTAATCGGGGCACCACCAGTTTCCGGAACTGGACCGTTGGATTTAATATCTATATCTTTGTAATGTAATCAGTCTCAGAGTTAACACCACAAATTTAATCTAAAGGATGAATCCTTGACAGAATGCACCA